GCCAAGAACCCGTACGCGCGCACCGTGCAGCTGACGGTGTGGGACGCCGCTGCGCTCGGCGACCGGCTGCGGCCCGGGGCGCGGTTTGTCGTTTCCAACCTGGTGCCCACGCAGAAGCGCTCCTGGAGGAGACCGGACGAGGCGGCCGACGTCTTTCTCTCGACGCGCCGCGATACCCGCTGGACGCCCGTCGAGTGACGGCCACAGCGTCGGCGGCGGCGGCCATGGCGACCTTGGGTGTGCTTGCGTTGCAATGCTGAATGCCATCACATGAGGAGCAGCGGCTCGGGCGCTCGATCTCCCACCATCGTTTCTGTCTGTCGATCGGCTGTCCCCTTGTCTCCCTACCGCGGCTTCGACCGCGGCCCCGACCGGCCGAGCGATGGACCAGGAGGAGCTTGTGGGGTCCTCGATCGACGGCAGCTGGTAGGCGGCACAGCCAAGAGGAGCAGGCGCCGGCGTTGACTGGCTCCTCCAGGCTTGATTCGAGGCAGGACAGCTGGCATGGCCCCTCTTGCCGCCGCCTGCGCCGTTCCCGGCCCCACCATTCAGACTCAGGCTCAGACTACTCGGCGACAAAGTCGAGCTGGCCAGCCAGCCAGCTACACATCGGCCTGGTCCGCGTGAACAAGCTCTGGCTCCATCCGGCCTCATCCTTGCTATCTTCGGGGCGCGCGTGAGCGAGCGAGCGAGCGAGTTGGTAGGCAAGCTAAGCAGGCAAGGTTCACCGCTCGCAGGCTAGGGACCAACCCAGCCAAGGTCAAGCTCAAGGCCCGAGGGCGGTTGGGTTGGTGGGTCCCTCGCCCGCCCGCCCGCTCGCCCGGCCCTGCCTGGCCATGCTAAGCTCGGGCCCAAAGCCGAAGCGGGCGCGCGCGCGACGCGTTTCGACTTTTTCTCGGGTCGGCCCGCCCGCCTTCTCTCCGCCCGTCTGCCCAGCCTTGGCTTGCCAGGGAGAGGCTGGCCAGGCCAGACGAAGCGAGACGGGCGGGCGGAGGCAGGCAGGTGTTGGTCTGCGCTCGGACCGCTTCCGTCCCTTTGTGTGTGTTTTTGCTTTCCGCGCTGGCTTGCTCGAATGCATGCACGCCGCCCGCCCGCTTGCTGGCATGCCAGGCCAGGCCATGCCATGCCATGCCATGGCCCGGCCTGCCTAGCCTGGCGTTGGCGGCGACGCCGGCGCCGGCGCCGGCTCGGCTTTCCTCCGCCGTGCGTGCGTGCGTGTCCAGCTGACCGCCTGCGCGCCCGCCCGCCCGCTTGCTTGCTGCCTGGCTGGCTGTCCATAGCCGCACGCACGCCGCTTCTGGGCGAGCAGCCAGCAGCCAGCGACCAGCAGCCAGAGCGGCATGCTCGTTCCCCAGCCCGGCTTGGCCTGCCTGGCCCTTTCTTGCTTGTCGTGGCGTGGAGCGGCGCAGGGTCTCTGTGCCTATGCTCGTCGACCTGCCTGCCCACCTTCCTGCCTGCCCGCCTGCCCGCCGGCCCGCCTTCCGTTGCTTGACGCGCTCGAGCGTATTGCCTCGTTCTCCTTCCTCACCACCACCAACCTCGTCGCCACCACCAGCGACGCTCCCTACACTTCGCTCGTCGTCGTCGGCGACCTTCCGCTCGATGCTCTGACCGCTCGCTCCACCTCTCGCACCCCATCCTGGATCTTCGGGTCCTGCCGAAGCCATCGGAGACTCTTCCGGCCCACCCTCGTTTCTGAGACCACCACTCACTCCCCGCGCCAGGTTCGCCTCCAGCGCGCCGCACCCTCGTTTCGCCGACGCCGACGGCAAGGCCCCGAGACAATCCCCAAACACAGCCAAGTCCTTGGCGACGGACCACCTCACCTCGCCTCACCCCGTCATGAGCATTCAGCAGTATCCCTCGTCGCCCTCGCCCTCGGTGGCCTTTCCGTCGATGGAGCGGGGCGTGGCCAGCCTCTCGCTCTCGACGCCCCCGGCCTCGTCGCCGAATGGCGTCCCGCGCTCCCCGGACGGCTCGCCGCTGCGGGTGCCCATGCCGCGCTCCGGCAGCCGCGCCTACAAATCGCCCTCGACCACGCCGTCGCGACAGGGCCCGCCCTCGCGCACCATGGCCGTTCTGATGCGCTCGGCCGCCAAGGTGCACCGCCTCGCCATCGAGAGCAGGATCATCGACGCCGGCTTCGACATCCTCGCCGAGCGCAGCGAGCACTGGTACACGCCCGAGGACGACGACTTCCTCGCCGAGTTCCTCGCCCGCGACGGCGCATCGGCGCTGCACAAGTGGGTGCCCCGCCTCACCAACGGCTCCATCTACGTGCTGGTCCTCGAGCGCGACGATGCCGCAAAGGCCTGGCTCGACTTGCTGGGTTCCGAGGATCAGGGTCACCGAGATGGTGACGACGAAGACGAAGACGACGACGACGGCGGCATCATCGCCAACTTTGGCGCGGACGGCCTGCCCATCGTCCGCAACGGCCTCCGCAAGACGTACGGCGCCGATGCCTTCTACGGCTCCGCAAACGACGCGGCTGCCGAGGCCCAGATCTCGATCTGCTTCCCGGAGCTGTCGCGCCACGGCAACGGCGGCGATGATGCAGTCGAGCACAGCGACGACTACATGCTGACCGGCAGGACCGGCAGCCCGACCGAGGAGATGCAGCGCGCCAGGAGGGTGCTGCGCGACTCGGACGCGTCGCTCAACGCCCGCACGTCGAAGCTGTCGACGACGTCGTCGAAGCTGTCTTCGGAGCGATCCAACTCGGACGCTGCCTCCCACAACGAGTTCCGCGCCCGACCCGTGCCCAGCACCACGCGCAGGGCGTCGATCCAGCCGCGGCTGAGCAAGGCGGCGGCTTTGCGCATGGGCGTCGAGCTGCCCGAGGCGCCGCGCCGCCG